CAGAGTAGATAGATCTAGTCACTGATAAGATATTGGTACTTAAGTAATGAGTATCTGAAATTAATAGCAAGAAGTCTGTTCTGGGTGACTTGGAAGTTCAGGAGAAAAGGCAGACTTGAGTAGGAGGTTGATAATGGTAAACCTAAGTTGTTATTCTGGAGTTCAGCTGCAAATATGGGAAATGAGAACAGAAATAAAATAGAGGTTAGTGATACCTAGTCTTTAAGCTATTAGCACCAAGAGGTAAGAAACCTATCCAGCTGACTGCCAGCACAGTGCCACTCATAAGACATAGGTCCCATAGATGCCAGTGGACGCAGGAGCACTGTCATCTAAAGGAAATCGTTAAAGGATCCTGAAAGGAAGTGCTTAAAGTCTGGTGTCCCAAAGGTCTGCAGAGAAGACATTTTTAAGCCAAAGGAAGTGGACTGTATAGTTGAGTTGAGTAGAAACATCAGTGAAGATGTAGAATGAATGTGTTTGTTAGGAAAGACTGTTTCGGCAGGCGCCGTGGCTCACGGTTAATCCTCCGCTTGTGGCACCGGCATCCCATATGGACAGTAGGTTCTACTCCCGGTTACTCCTCTTCCAGTCCAGCTCTCTGCTCTGGCCCGGGAGGGCAGTGGAGGATGGCCCAAGGGCTTGGGACTCTGCACCCACATCGGAGACCAGGAAAAAGCACCTGGCTCCTGGCTTCGGATCAGAGCAACACCGGCCATAGTGGCCATTTGGGGAGTGAACCAACGGAAGGAAGACCTTTCTCTCTGTCTCTCTCTCTCTCACTGTGTATAACTCTACCTGTCAAAAAAAAAAATACTGTTTCAAACTCTCTTAATAATCACAATTTCAATTTGACAAAATTAGGTTGAAGTACTTTAAGGACAGAATGGAAAAATGAAGAAATACAGAAAATAAACAACTGGTTGAGGAATTTTGTTCACAATTATTTCTACACTGAAGGATAAATTATTAAAAGAATGAAATCATCTATTGATTTTATTGAATCCGGAATATAAGTTTGTAAGTGATGAAGAGAAAATAGACTATAGATTAGAAGACAGCTAGCAGATATATAAATTTGTTTGTCTAGAGAAAAAGAAAGTGGCCCTATTAAAGTAGAATAGAAACTAAAATCATCGAATGGGCAGGGGAAAACTTGTACTAGTAATAATGGAGAAAGGACTGTGAATGGTAACTTAAAAAAGAAAAGGAAATACTATGATCCAGTAGGTCAGGAAAGAGAACAGGACATTTCATAATATGTGTCCTAAAATTATTAAATAATTATATAGAATAATGTGTAACTTCACTGGCAGTAGAGGCAAAAATCAAGGTCATGATTATACAACGTTGTCCAATTATCAACAGATTTAAAATATTTGCTATCCAAAGATTGACCAGGGACTCAATGAAATTAGTAACCTTGTACAGTATTGGTAAATGGATAAAATGTTTTAAAAACTATCTTACAATATAGGTTACATTATTCAAAATGTTTATATTTTGAGATATATTGCCTTTAATTCTCTTAAAATTAATTAAGTGGAATACTTAAAACATATCATGTAACAAGTTAATAGATCGTAGTGCAAAACCATTAAAATGCACTTTCCATTATATAATTCATTTGTTATAAACTAGCTGGAAAATAGTATATGAATAATACATACATAATACAAGAGCCAGAAAATATTTGCAAAAGGAAAGGCAAGAAAATGCCTTAAAACAGTACCTACTAGTTGATTCGAATAGTGAGATTTTTTTTGTGTGTAGATTTTTTCTTAGACTTTTTTCTTTTTAAAATGTCTGTAATAAGGTTGTGATGTTTCATAATAAAAAGCCCAACAATTTATTTAAATAGAATCACTGAAAAATATAATTTGAAATAAAGAATCCTATATAAACAGTAGTAAATAGAACATGGCAAAAATCAAAGGAAAACTTTTTTTCTTAACTTCAGAATACAGGAAATTGACAAAGCAAGACCCAGGGAATAAGGGAAGAACAGTGGACAAAAGAAGGAATATTCTACAGTCTGAATGATGCTTCTCATAATATTGAAAGGAAAGGTGTAGTGGACAGTCTGACTAGAAACTAATAACCATTTTAAATAATTGAGATCACCATTATTCTTCCTACACAAAATACTAAAAGCAGGATTTATACAAGTTTCAAAGGAATATCTTAGTCTCCTCTTTTCAGTGATGAAAATAATCTTGAAATGGTTTAGTTGAGACACAATCACTTCCTCTAGTTATTTCCATCCAACTTCATCATTGTACTTATTCTATTTCTTACTCATGCTGGTCTACCAATATATGCCCTAAGGATAATATAGTTAACTTGAATTGTACCCTCTCTTGTTCACTCTCTAATTGTTAAGAATTTCGGCTGAGTACAGATGTAAAATCACATAATGTTTATGAAGTGTTATTGCAGAGTTGAAGAAAAATTTCCAAAAGTAGTACTTTAAGAAGTGACTGTTATAAGGATATACCACTCTGGGCTGGCTCCATGGCCCAGTAGGTTAATCCTCCACTTGCGGCACCAGCATCCCACATGGGTGCCGGTTCTGATCCCGGTTGCTCCTCTTCCAATCTGGCTCTCTGCTATGGCCTGGGAAAGCAGTAGAAGATGGCCCAAGTCCTTGGGCCCCTGCACCCACATGGGAGACCTGGAAGAAGCACCCGGCTCCTGGCTTCGGATCAGCGCAGCTCCAGCTGTTGCCGCCATCTGGGGAGTGAACCAACGGAAGGAAGGCCTTTCTTGCCGTCTCTCCCTCACACTGTCTGTAACTCTACCTCTCAAATAAATAAAATCTTTTTACAAAGAAGATATACCACTCTTTTAAAAGAAGTTTATGTATTCATTTGCCAGGCAGAGACACAACAGGACATACATGAGAGGGAGGGAGGGGGGAGGAAGAAGGAAGGGAGAAAAGAGCATAGGAAAGAAAAGAAAGAAGAGAAGGAGGGAACACTTGACCCATCACTGCTGCCTCCCAGGGTCTACACTGGAAGGAAGCTAGAATGAGGATCCAGGGCTGAGAATTGAACCCAGACATTGGGATGTAGGATGTGAACATCCTAACCGCTAGGCTGAGTGCTCGCTCTCACCATTTTTAAAGGCAGAAGGAGCTTACTTACTTACCATTCAACTTGAAGTACGCTTGTTACAAAAGAATTCCCTCCAAATCAAGAGTAAATAAAATTATAGCCTTGGGCTCAGCTGATCATGAAGACACTGAGTTCCTACCGTTTTCTGCTACTGCGCTACTGGGTTCAGTATCTGGTCTGGTTTGCCAAGAAAGACAAGTCACCAGCTGGGGCTTTGGTAAAGAAGAGACATAATGCTGTGCAGTACCTGAGTATGGCAGCCCCACATCTTCCTTTTGAGTGTCTGTTTGCCTATAAGGAAAATTTTCTTGGTGTCTGGTTTATGGTTTCAGTGGTGAGCCCTTGCACGTGAAGTACTTACTCCTCCAAATAAAGCAATTATAAAGGGGTTGGCTGATGTATAGCATTTAAGAGCTATGATATTTTAGAACCATAAGTGATGTAAGAAGTGATAGGAACTTTACTGAATAACATGGCATGTAGAGAAACAAAATGTCTTAATTTTTAGCTGTCCTGAAAACTAGTACCAGAGTTTTACTAGATTGAAAATTAGAGTTGTTTCACTACCTAACAAAAACAACTTTTAAGGAAAAAAGACAATTTAGATGTACCATCTTTGACATATTCAGAATGACACATGCTAAGCTTATATGTCATTTATGAGTGTGTATATGTACATACACCAGGCATTCCAAATAGACTTTGTCCTGTGCTTTTTTTTCCAAATTACAAATATATTGATGTTTTATGTACAGACATCTATAGTGAAATATTTCAAATTAATACATGGATGTTTGAAATATCTGGTTTTAAAGTAAAAGATTTTCTGAGTATGATTACCGTGAGTTTGTTTTCAGGATATGTCTCCCTCTGATGTATCGTCAGTCTAACCTCCAAATATGCTGATAACACCAGGAAAGACATAGAATAAAAGATAAGTCCAAAAAACAAAAACAAAGCAAAACAAAAGATCAAGTCCATGGAGGAAGACTCTATCACACCTTATCTTAGGTGTAATTATAATGGATGTAGTAATGATACAGCAGCAATGTCTGCAGTTTAAAAAAATAGTAATTTTTATATTTGAATATCAATGTTGAATATTTACTTTTTCCTTTTGTTTTTAATATTTTTACTTTTATGTTTGTTACCTTATTTCTTACCTGAATGATTTTTATACTGTGTATTTTTCCATACCCTTCTTTCTTGTTGAGCTTTCTCCCATCCTTAGATGTTCTTCCCTAGTATAGTTTCCCTGAAACTTGATATAAATTACATTTCTAGCTTAAAATATTATATTAGCTAACACAAGTAAAATTAAAATACCATCTCAAGTATAATTTATAAATTCTATATAGGGATAAGCCTATTATAAAAAAAATTAGATATAAAATTAAGCCTAATTTTAAATCATATGTGTTGCCTTTTAACTCTGTTGGGTATTTTTTTAAATACAGAATGTTTTAATTTTTATAGTTCCTCTTTTATTTTCTTTTGTTGGACATGTAATATAAAGGCTATGTCAAATGAATCATTGCCAACACACACACACACACACACACAAAGAACCTAAAAAGTCATGATAGCAAACAGAGTTTTGATATTAGAAAACTAACTCTGAACTTTCTAATTAAAAACAAATCCTATAAAATGATAGTTCAATTAAAATATTTCCTTTTTTTTTCTAAATAGGTGAGTTTAAACTCAAGGAGGCAAAGTACCTAATTTGTACATAATTGATGCTAACTTCTTACAAATGATTCCGCTCCAAGGAATTTGCTATTTTTGTTCTTTCCTATGATAAAATTTTTAGCTTACACTGAGCATAGTGGATAACATTTGATTCCATTAAATACAAATAATCATGCCATCTTTTTTCCCCAGGTAAAGAAGACTCTATCTATGAAGATACAACTGCAAATGAAAAATTAGAAAGGAGGAGAGAATATACATACCAATGGCTTCACACACAAGTTGGGGTTCATGAAACAACTAGTTCCAGAAATATGAAATGGTGAGGTCATTTCCTTTAAATTAGATTTTTGTATTGTAAACACATCCTGAAAAGTGAAACCTAGGTTAATTATACCAAAACAAACATGACTTCATAGCCAAAGGCCAATACACCAGGTTGTCAGGTTATCAAAAGGGGTTTTTAATATAGAATAGATTTAATCGCTCTTTATATTTTTCATTCTAAGATTTATTTGAGACTAATTCTATTCTGTAATCCTAAAAACCAACAGATGAACCATGTGAATGATACTACTGTATAACGTAAATGCATGGCGTCCATTAACTGTTTCTAAATATCATATATAGTATAGGTTGTATTTTATTTTGTGTCCATTTATAAATAATATATATAAAACTGGATAGGGAATGCCAACCTCACAAATGGAGATTTAATCTGCTGCACCACAACACTGGCCCTATAGTTCAGCTAGAAAGTTGAAGATAGGTTTATATCCTCTACCAGCAAACAGAGGGCCATAAACCTAATAAGTACTCAATTAATTTTTATTACATTAATGTGTTCCATTACTAGGGATGCCCATAATAAAATACCGCAAATAGTGTGGTTTAGGCCAGAAGTTCAAGACCAGTCACTAGATTTTCTCTCTTTAGATGTCTCCATCCTAGGTTTGCAGATTGCTGCCTTCCAGCTGTGTCCTCACATGGTCATCCTTTAGTCTGTGTTGCCTGTGTTCTAATCTTGTCTTCATATAAGGATACAGTCCTATTGAATTTAGAATACAACTGCATAATTTTTATTTCTATTAATTGCCTCTTTCAAAGCCCTATGTCTAAAGACAGCCACATTCTGAGGATTAAGACTTAACATGAATTTGGAGGGACACAATTCAGTCCATATTACTGTGTTATAAAGTATATGTCTGTACTGAACCATAATTTTAAGGCAATTTAAGTTAAGAGATGGGATTTTGACATAGATCTTCCATATTTCCTTTTTTTAACCCCATATTTCCAGAAGAAGGTGCATAAATGTGCCTTTGTAGGCATTTATTAAATATGTAAACCAATATTGAATCCAAAAATGAGAACATTTTATAAATATTTCATGGCATTGTGGTTTTTAAATAACAAAGGCAAAAACAAAATCCTAGAAGTAATACGTTAAAACTTAAGTAAAGGCTGGAGCTGCTGGGGGCAGTGGGTTAAGCCACCATCTGCAGTGCCTGCAGTGCCAGCATCACTATGGGCACAGGTTCAAGTCCTGGCTGCTCCATTTCTGATTCAGCTCCCTGCTAATGCACCTGGGAAAACACTTGGGCCCCTGAACCCATGTGGGAGACCCAGAAGAAGCTCTTGGCTCCTGGTTTTGGCCTGGGGCATCCTCAGCTGTTGCAACCATTTGAGGGTTGACCAAGCAAATGGAAGATCTCTCTCTCCGTAACACTTTCAAATAAATAAATATTTTTAAAAACACAGCTAAGAAATAGAAGTAAATACAACATTGCATTATAGTAATTCACTATCATTAGTTCTTTCGTATTTTATTCTTTGTATATTTATGTTTGACAAAGAAGAGTAAAATCAAAATTTAGAAATTGAAATTTTATGTTAAATTAAATTAAAATAACTATGGAAAGTTGTATATTTGTACTTAGCTTTCTTTTTAATGTAATTTAAGAAAATTATTATTTACCTTTTATATAAGGGGACTTCAAAAAGTTTGTGGATATGAAATGAAAAGATGTTTATGCTGGTCTAAAAATTTTGAAATATGCATGGTGTTTTCATAATAAGCATTTTCTATAGAATTTTGAAATATAATCATAAATAACTGATTTCTTCCAAACTTTTCCTTTGGGAATTTCTCTCCTATTCTTCTTGTACATTTATATTATTATGTTTTCTGTTTTTAATCACAATACAGCAATCACTTCTTGCCTGAGTTAGATCCAGATGTACTTAATGGTGGAAGAGTTCAACTTATGGTAAGAAAAGTGTTTAAAGCTATAGAAAAATTTTGTCAACACAGGTGCTCAATAAATTACACTTTAAAGTATGTCCAAAATTAGTTTAAATTGTGGAAATATCACAACTATATTTGAGGTAATCTCAAAATACTGTGTGTTAAAATAATAACATGTTTTCTTGATCTGTCATATAACATTGCAATATGATGTTGCTTTAAAATATTAATTTCGTATGATGGATGTAAAAATATTAACATGCTAACATTTTAAAATAAAATTACTCTGGGTGAGAAATCATTAATTAAATTATTTTCTTGAATATTTTGAAAGTGTAGAATTTATAGACTCTATTTGAAAGAACAAACTACCTTCCAAACTCAGAAAATCAAACTGTGTGAAAAATTAACAAGTAATTGTGAGCTTAACTAGTCTAAGTAGTAAGGTATAAGTTACTAAAGCTTTAGGGACAATGAGATTGTAAACATAGTGACAAGAGTATAGAGTCTGATAGTATAAATGTATGTGGATTGCTAAAGTCAATTGTACTATACGGTATTAGAAGAAACACAATGTTATCAGAAGGAGACTGGCCAAACTGGAGTCTAAAAAAATGGACCCACCACAGAAGAAATGTCCAGTGTGTTTCCAGAAAAGTCCAAAGAATACAATACACTGACCACTAACAGAAGTGTGGACCTCCTTGGCAGGTAAAAATGTATATATCAGATGACCCTAACTTTGAAAGAATGTCCATTTATATCAACCAAAACCTCTTTCCCATTCATCAGTAAAACTGATTATGATTCATTTTTCATGAAGAACTTCATATAAAAAGATAGTGTAATTTCTGGTGAAACTGAGTATTGTGGTTTCCAGTTCAGTTATGTTCATCATTTTCATAAACAGTTCATTCAAATAGTTTTCCTAAATAAAAAGCAAAACCTAGGGTAGTAGTTGGCTTAAATTCATGTCTTTATTAAAATATTTTTGGAATATCTGTTAAGATTTTAAATAATTAGTAAATTATTTTGTATTTTTGTAGAGACTGGCAGATTAATATGCAGGTTAGTCTAGGAAAATTTAAACTTAACACTGTTAACACCACATTAAAAGAAAGATTTGTTTTATTGAAAGGCAGAATTATGGAGCAGGGTTGTGGGTGAGTACAGAGAGAAAGAGATCTTCCATCCACTGCTTCACTCCCCAAATGGCTGCAATGGCCTAGGCTATTCCAGGGTAAATCCAGCCAGGAGCTTCATCAAGGTCTCCCATATAGGTTCAGGGGCCTCATCCCGTGGGCCATCTTCTGCTGCTTTCCCAAGCACAGTAGCTGGGAGCTGGATGGGAAGCAGATCATCCAGGACTTGAACAGGAGCCCATATAGGATGCCAGGACTGTAAGTGGTGGCCTAACCTGTTCTACCACAGAACTGGCCCCCAACATACATAGTATTGACTAATACTTTGGCACAGATTGGTAAATGAAATGATATTATATTTAATTACTATACATGTAAGCATGAATGAAAATATATTGGATAGATTACTGGTCAAGTTGATTGTATGAGATTAACTTTAGACATAAATTTTCTTTTTCCAGATCCCTTTATATTCTATAATATGCAAATATGTGATAAATAAATTTCAATTATAAATGCTTTTTTTTATGGTGAAAAGATACAAGTGAACACAAAAGCAAAGTAAATGCAAGTGAATTAGGAATGCACATATGTGTATGTATGTGTATGTGTGTGTGTTTGGGGGAGGGGAGCAGGACACAGGGGAAAGAATCAGTGGCTTATATTAGAAGGATACTTTTGACTAACAACCCAGAATATGAATCTTACAGAGTAATCTGGAATGAAACACACCTCCCCATTTATGCCAACCAACTAGTGGCAAATAAATATGTAACTTCAACCAGGCCATAATTAAGAGAAAAAAATTTTATGAAAATCTTCAGCTGCTGCAGATATAACATCTCCACGATAAAAGAGAAATATCACTAGTAGAAGGACAGAAATTATGGAACAAGAATGATCAATTGTTAGTAAAGGACATATATAAAAAATGAACAAATCATGAATTCTAGAAATAATCATTTCAATATACTCTAGACTGAACACAGTAAAGGGAGAATTAGGCAATTTCAGGATTATCAACAAAAGAACAATAATTAAGTTGACACCTGACATCATATCAGAAACAAGAAGTTCTAAAACTATATTGATTTCTTTTTTTCTTATTTTTTTAATAATATATATTTACAATTTTTTTTTATTTATTTAACAGGTAGAGCCATAGACAGTGAAAGGGAGAGACAGAGAGAAAGGTCCTCCCTCTGCTGGTTCACTCCCCAAATGGCAACCACAGCTGACGCTGTGCCAATCCGAAACCAGGAGCCAGGCGCCTCCTCCTGGTCTCCCATGCAGGTGCAGGTGCCCAAGCACTTAGGCCATCCTCCACTGCCCTCCCGGGCCACAGCAGAGAGCTGGACTGGAAGAGGAGCAGCCGGGACTAGAACCCGGTGCCCACATGAGATGCCGGCGCTGCAGGCGGAGGATTAGCCAAGTGAGCCATGGCGCCGGCCCTACATTGATTTCTTAATAACAGGAATAAATATATTATTCAGGATACTCTACTAAGTTTCAATAAAACAGATAGAATAAGACATTATCAGGCATTCAACTTCTGGATTTTGAGAAAGCTAGTAAATTTGTCTTCTCAGCAAGAGCAAAGCATATCGCAATGAAAGCAGAGGTTAGAAAAATTAAAATATAATATTTTCCTTACATAAAAAATCAGAAGACATGTCAAAGATATATGGATGATTATGTTATTATTTGAATTAAATATATTCCCCCAAATTCCAGGACCTGCACAAGACAGTTGTAATTCACATACTCTGTGGAACATACTATGAGATTTTGATCCTTGAGTGCAAGAATTTATTTCCAAATGAGATTTTGAATTTGAGTGCAGGAAGTTATTTCAAGAGCAACACTCAGGAAAGGAAATAAGCAAGACCTAGCAGAGGGAGAAAATGAACTTCAATAGAGATGCAGCAGAGCAGGTGAGTTCTGGGTATGGGTATGAGAAGGCCTTTTTGAGTTGCCTCAGCTTGAGGCAAGAGGTCAGGCTTGTATTACTGCACCTTCTCAGGAAAAGGTGTGACTTGGACAAGGCACCTCTCATCGGTCTCCAGATAGGTTTTAATCTGAGAGACACCATGCTATAACTTCTCCAGAAGTGGAAGTCTCTGACTCATTGGTAAACATGTTCTAGTTGAGGAAAGATAGTAAGTTCACTACTCATGGATGAAAAACTTAATAGATAAAATCTGGCAGTTGTCCCCCAAATAAATGTACACATTTTTAAAAATTCCATCCAATATTGTAGCTGATATCTTAGGAACATGAAAAATATCATTCTAAAATGTGTGTTGAGAAATGAAAACCTGATAATATATGTCAACATTGAATAAGAGAACCAAGTTACATCATGAACTATAAAGACTTTGTACAGAACTAAATTAAAATTTATGCTACTGGCATACAGTGGAAATGCATGGTTAGTTCAGGATAGACCTGTGACTATATTGGAATAAGGGTAGGAAGGTTTAGATTGTTTAGCAAATGACATTCATCAAATGACATTATGGAAAAGAGAAACACAGGAGTATATATAGACCAACACACCCTTTCTGATAATGGATAGAATTTAGAAGATTTGAAGACATAAATATGAAAGGTAAAGCTGTATCAGATAAAATAAAATAGCAAATAATATTTTTCAACTTAGCATATACTCCAAACTATATAGCAAAAAATGTAATTAACTTTCATCAGTTTAATACTTTCCAAATGAAGAATTTATAGAAAAGGTTGACAGAAACATTACAAACATGGAGAAACTGGTTTTAGTGCCTAAAACTTGTAAGAGCTTAATATCTAAATATAAAAAGATCTCTCACAGATGATTAATATAAATCAGGTGAATACATTAATAAAGTACAGGGACCGGCACTGTGGCACAGCGGGTTAATACCCTGGCCTGAAGCACCGGCATCCCATATGGGCGTTGGTTCGAGAACCGGCTGCACCACTTATGACCCAGCTCTCTGTATGGCCTGGGAAAGCAGTAGAAGATGGCCCAAGTCCTTGGGCCCCTGTACCCATGTGGGTGACCCGGAGGAAGCTCCTGGCTCCTGGCTTCGGATCGGCACAGCTCTGGCCATTGCAGCCAATTGGGGAGTGAACCATCAGATAGAAGACCTCTCTCTCTCTGCCTTTCCTTTGTGTAACTCTGACTTTCAAATAAATAAATAAATCTTTTAAAAAAAAAAGAAAAACTTGTTTGACCTATATTTAATAAGCAGGAGGAACAAACTAAAACTATACAAAAATAGAAACATTTCAAAAATATAATACTGAGTTTTAAATTAGTAAACATAACTTCAAATTTATATGTATATTTCAAAAATTTCTTTTCTCTAGGCTATGTATAGAAATTTCTTTTCTATAGGCTATGTATATTCTATAGGCTATATTCTATGTATATTCTTTTCTCTAGACTGTGGCAAACTAGCTCTCCTAAAGGAACTATTTTTTTAATATAAAACTGAATAAAATATATCAAGCAATTGTTTTCCTGTGCTAAAAAAACAGCACAGGTCTATTATCATTGAAATAAATCAAACACAAAAATTGAGTTTTACAATCACACCAGTTAACAGCCTGGAAATACTTTCTGGAGTCCAGCACAAGGAAGAGTGAGCCCATAAAGAACACTGGTTTCACTAGCCAGGAAGAGCAATAACAGTTTTCGGAGTTGCTGAGGTAGCTAGTATTTCCGGGGCAAAGACTATCTGGTATTTCCAGAGAAAGGACTGAAGAATTGGCATAGATGGCTTCTTAAGTATTTGACAAAATAATCAGCTCCATATGCACAACAGTGAAACTGAAGTCCAGAAGAGAAAATCTACATGGAATAGAGGACTTGAACAGAGATTCTACAGAT